ACTTTTAGATTTTACAAAACAATACAATTCCCTTCCCCGAACCCCCCCAACCCTCCCCTACCCTCCCCCGACCTTCCCATAGCTGAATACAGGCTTAATTAAAAAATTTTCAAAAAGTCTTAAAACAAATATAAACCATAAACAAGTCTAAATACATTAATTAAACAAGTTGTAAAATAGTTAACAATAATATATGTATAAAAAGACAAAAATACAAGGAAATACAAGAAAATAGGAAGAAAGAAAAAGAAAAGAAATAAAAAGAAAAAAAAAGAAAAAAGTCTATAAAGTCTATAAAATATCTTAAGTTTTAAATATAAGTTATTGAAAAGCTAAATAATATTTTTTATATCCAACTTATATTGTATAAAGTCTATCCATTTTTTCCATACCAAAAAATACTTCTCTTGCGATTGGTCTTTCAAGAAAGCCAAAATCTTTGCCATTTCCGCCAAATAAGAAACTTTAAAAAAACACTCTTGCAAGGTAGGCAAAGATTCCTTCTTCCAACATTGCCCATCTAGGCAATTCTTTTGTAACTCTAGCCATGTAGTCATATACAGTAAAACATGTCCATATAACAAGAGGCAGCCAGGCAGCAAATATTAAATACAAGCCCTTCCTCCTTTCTCTGCCTTGTAGCACAGGTTGCACAAGAAAAGTGAAATCTCACCCAGTCAGTGATTTCCTGTAAATCTTGTTCCCTTGCTCCCATGCCTTCTCTTGAGTTTTACCTCCAGTAGTTGGTTGAGATAAGACGGCAGTAGCTGCATACCTCTGTCTTATCTATCTTGTTTGCATTCCCTAGGGACAGTGGCAAAGGAGAAAGGTCCTATTAGGCTATCTAGGAAAGCAGATACCTCTGCCAGGGTGTTTGACCTCTTCTTTCTTTCTTCCATTAAATATTTTTTATTAAATAAATGTTTACAGAATAAGAACATTATAAATTTTAAAAAGGAAATAAAGATAAAGAAAAGTTAAAAAAGTGATCAGTAAATCAACAAAGCAGAGCAACAAAGATGATTAGGGGACTGGCGGCTAAAACATATAAGGAAGGGTTGCTGGAATTGGGTATGTCTAGTTCAGTGGTTCTCAACCTTTTTAATGCCGCGACCCCCAACCGGTCATGAGTCAAGGACTACTCAACCGATCGTAAGAGAGAGTCAAGAGAGTCTATTCTATTGGCTTTCAAAAGCCAATAGAATAAAAGGGAGTAGCACAGCTAAGGAAAGGGGAAAAAAATGGCGGACTCGTTGTTTGGCGACCCCCGTGAAATGGTCGTTCGACCCCAAATGGGGTCCCGACCCACAGGTTGAGAACCACTGGTCTAGTTTAATGAAGAGAAGGATGAAGGGTGACATGATAGTACTGTTCCAATATCTCAGGGGCCGCCACAAAGAAGAGGGAGCCAAGCTATTTTCCAAAACGCCTGAAGGCAGGCAAGAAGCAATGGATGGAAACTAACCAAAGAGAGAAGCAACCTAGAACTAAGGAGAAACTTCCTGACAATTAGAACAATTAACCAGTGGAACAACCTGCCTCCAGAAGCAGTGAATGCACCAACTTTTTAAGAAGAAACTGGACAGCCATTTGTCCGAAATGGTATAGGGTTACCTGCCTGACCAGGGGGTTGAACTTGATGACCTCCAAGGTCCCTTCCAACATTATTATTATTATTATTATTATTATTAGTAGTAGTAGTAGTAGTAGTAGTAGTAGTAGTAGTATGTTGTTGTTGTTATATAAGAAAGAAAATGAAAGAGAAAGGAAATAAAAAGAAAGCTATAAAAGAGTGACTTCAGCAGTTATTTTTTTCTATTTTCAGCAAAAAGCTCATAAAGGGTTTCCAATTACTGGCAAATGAAGTTAGTGAGACCTTCTCTTTCTGAGCAGTGAAATGATGCAAGCAGGAACCTCATGATTCATTCACTGAACTTTGCCCCTAGTGATGGTACTTTGGTGTGCATAAAGTAGATCAATCATATTAATCAAAGTGACTACATTAGTGGATTGGGAAAATGCTATGAACATTGTTTACTTAGAGTTCAGAAAGGCATTTGACAAAGTAGACTACAGCTGCCTTCTTGGTAAGATAGAAAAAATGTTGGATAGACAGGATCACCACAATAAAGACTTAAAACTGGCTGACCAACCACACTTAGCATGTAGTCCTCAATGGAACTACATTTACATGGAGGGACGCATGAAGTGGGGTACCTCAAGGTTTTTTCTAAGGCCCAGTACTCTTCATTATCTTCATAAATGATTTAGATGAGGGGATAGAAGAGGAACTCATCAAATTTGCAGATGACATCAAGCTGGGGGGAATTGCTAACATCTTAGAGCAGGGATCTTCAAACTTGGCCCTTTTATGACTTGTGGACTTCAACTCCCAGAATTCCTCAGCTAAGCATGCTGGCTGAGGAATTCTGGGAATTGAAGTCCATAAGTCATAAAGGGCCAAGTTTGAAGATCCCTGTCTTAGAAGATAGACTGAAGATTCAGAAGGATAGACTTTATTATTGGGCTCTATCCAACAAGATGCAGTTCAGTGGTGAGAAAAGTAAGGTCCTGCACCTAAGCAAGTAAAATCAAATGCACAGGTATAGAATAGGTGGTACCTGTCTCATCAGTAGTGGGAGGAACCTGGGTATCCTGGTAGATCACCACTTAAGTATGAATCAGCAGTCTACTGCAGCTTCCAAAAAAGTTAATGCAGTCCTAGGAAGCATCAATAGACGGATAGCATCAACATCACAAAAAATGATGCACTAGGGAGGCCACACTTTGAATACTATATCAAGTTCAGGTTACCACAATACAAAAAAGATACTGAGGTTCTAGAAAGTGCAGAGAAGAGCAACAAAGCTTATAAGGATTCTGGAGACTAAAATGTATGATGAACAGTTAAGGAAACTAGATATGTCTAGCCCAGGGGTAGGCAACCTCGGCTCTTGGATGACTCGTGGACTTCAACTCCCAGAATTCCTGAGTCAGCTATGCTGACTCAGGAATTCTGGGAGCTGAAGTCCACGAGTCATCCAAGAGCCGAGGTTGCCTACCCCTGGTCTAGCCTGTCAAAGAGAAGGATTAGGAGTAACATGATAGCTGTGTTCCAGCACTTCACAGGCTATCACAGAGAGGGGATCAACCTAGTCTTCAAAGCACCCCGAGGGTAGGAGAAGAAGTAACAAGTAGAAGATCATTAAAGAGAGACCCAACCTAGAACTAAGGAAAAATTTTCTGATGCTGAAAACAATTAATGGAACAACTAGTCTCCAGAAGTTGTGGATGCTCCATCACTGGAGGTTTCAACAACAGATTGGACAGTCATTTGTTTGGAATGGTATAGCGTCTCCTGCTTGAGCAGGGGGTTGGACTAGAAGACCTCCAAGGTCCCTTCTAAGCCTGTTATTCTGTGTTATTCTCTGTACCTCCCAGTAAACAGAGAGTAAGGCTTCCCACTGACAAAGTTGCTTCTTGCTTCATTTAGTTGGCCAAGCACAATTCTTCCCATTACATCCTCTAGAGAAATAAAATGCAGAGAGAGTGGAGCTTTCCAGCATTGCCATGCTTCCTTGAGTTTTATTTTTCTCTCTGCAAGTGACCTCCTTTCAGACAAGCAAAGAGGCATGCACACGGGAGACAATCATCCTCTTTTCATTTCTCTTACTGTTAAAAAGAAAATAGGCTATAGAAAAAGAGAATGCAGACAGCATCCTCTGCTCAATAACTTATCATTGCCATCTCTGTGTCTCCAGGTGTTTCTGTATAAAGGATTGGTCATAGCAAGAACTGACATTTTATTCTCCCATTTCCTTCTGGGCAACAGTATGTAGGGATTCACCTCAGTTCTATTAAATCCACCATAGTGTGCCATTCTGAGTGAGCACAAGAAACCCACAAGAAACAATCTTCCTCTGTGGTCAGTTTCTCCTTCTACCATAAGGACTAGGCAGATGATGGTTACAGTATTTCCAAATGCTTGCTTCCCTTCTCCTTTTGCCACAGTAGCATCAGCACAAAGTGTTTTTTGCCCAAGATAAAGGACAAACTCTTGATTCCTACCATGCCACTGTGTGCTGATTCAGCCTTACTCAACTCTGCTGACAGTATCTTGTGCATTTATGTGTAGCAGGCTAGTTTAAAAGGTGAATGGGCCACCAACAGCATTCAGACAACTACTACTCAGCTCAAGGCTCCCTGGCGTATTCTGCTTCTGTCAATCACTACCTGCTAGCCTGCAGGACTTTATCTACTTACATATCATAATGATTTTGAGGAAACGAAGGAGTATTTTTTCATCTCTCCTTCTGCTTTCTTTGGAATTTTAGAAAAAGGGAGAATTTTTCTCCCACCTGCAAAGAGCTGTTCCTCTGTGTTCTGAACAGCAAAGTCAATATTTTTGTAACCAATATTTTTGCTGCTTAAAATGAACATATCAGAGCTCACAAGTCTTTTGTGAAATTATGTTTCCAATAGCAGCAGGAGAAACGTAATTAAGATGTATAGCTTTTCTAAATGATAGGGAATGTCTGAATGGGTTAAACTAGTGGCATACTAATTAATGTAATTTAAGAAAAAAACAGAGCATGTTTGTGTATATGTATATATATGTTGTGTATACACCCAGCCATTTAAATCAACTCTGCTGTCAAAGTATTTGCAATTACTTTGAGGGAAGATTTTATTTTAATTTATGATTAATATAATTTTGCAAGCATCCATGGACTGAAAGTATTTGTGTACTTTTTACATTATAACTAACAATTTTCAGCATCTAATTGAAGAGATTAGCAGTTCTGTTTCTAACTGGTTTGTTACAAAAGCCGCGTCTCTGTTTTATATATTGTAATATGAAAGGGTATTGTTTGTGTGTGGGATAAATATTCTGGTTATTTGGCCTTTGTCTTAACTGCCTTCTCTTTATTAGGTTATTTTATTAGGTTTCAAAATTACTCTAATAATCCTAATCAGAGATTTTAACCTTGTTTTTACAGGTGACCTGTAACTGTTTCAGCATAAGCAGTGGAGAAATGCAGGATGTTGGTGTTGGACTTTATCCCAGGTACAGTGGTTCTAGTTGTATCAATCTTTCTGCGTCTCTCTCTCTCTCCCCCCCCATACACACACTTACTTTGTCTTTCTCTCACTTCCCCCCCCCTTACTTGAAAGAAGTGTACAAATCCTTAGCACAAGAGGCCTGAGACCAAGATAAAAAACGACCACAAGACCAAAAGTATAGTTCAGTGATGGTGAACCTTTTAGAGACCGAGTGCCCCAAAACTGACCCCACCCCTGCTCCACCGCCTGCCCCGTCCTCACTCCGCCCGTCCGCAGGGCCACTCACTGCCTCCAGGGCCTGCCATAGATCGCCCAGCAGCACCATTGCGGCCATGCCCTCTGCCCGCGCCCTGCAGCATCAACTGTGCACGATGGGGTGTGAGGGCAGAGTCTTATCTATGCTGCCTGGCTGCCATGTTCTTGGCTGCGCTGCTCCATGTGGGCCACGCTCGAAGGCGACTCTCCTCCAGGGGGGCTGCTGGTAAAGAGGGGGTCACGGGACGAGGCAAGGCTGGGGAAAGCACGTGTGCCACCTCTGGCACATATGGCATAGGTTCGCCACCACTGGTATAGTTAGTCAACCCAGTGAAAACACCAATCTTCATCTTGTTCTTGCCACTTTGGATGATTTGAATTTTATATTACCATCCAACTATTCTGGAGAAAAGCTTTTCACCAGAGACTGCCCCAGGTTGCCCTTGAATGGCATGATCAGGTTGCAGTATAAAATCTCTAATTTAATGATATTAATTACAATTAATAATATTACTCCCCTCATATTTAATATTTCCTTCCTTTATGTTAGAAATTACAAATTCATGTCAAATTTTGCAAAGATAATCAAATATACCCACAATTTTCTTTGATACTGACTTTTCCATTCAATTGCCTCTTTCTTCTGCAATGGTTTTATTTTTTTCTGTTCAATCATGTCCAATTCTTGTAGACTGCCTGGACAAGTCCCTGCAATTTTCTTGGCAAAGTTTTTCAGAAGGGATTTGCCATTGTCTCCTTCCTAAGGCTGAGAGAACATAACTAGCCCAAGTCACCCACCTGGCTTTGTACCCAAGGCTGGACTAGAACTCACGGTCTCCTGGTTTCTAGCCTGACGTCTTAATCCCTAAACCAAACTGGCTCTCTTTGCAGTATTCAAAACCATATTTTTCCCTATGTTTAGCTGCATGCTATTCCAAGAATTTACAAATTTCCAAGAAACATGGCTACAGCTCATTCAGCAGGTTGTTTAGCAGTTATAAAGAGTTCTGGATGAAGAAGCCAAACTGTCTATTCGTGCTCCATTGAGCTTTTGTTCATAAATAACAAGAAGAGTCCAATAGCTCTTCCCTTTGTCATGCTCCTGTAGTAATGGGAGGCAGCAACAGCTTTCTCAGCTTTTGGGAAAGACTTCAGGGTAGGCTAAAGCATCGTGAACCAGAAAGAATTGCAGATATGGTCCTATGGAATAAAACTAGGATTGAAAGCAGCAGCAATGTAAGGAAGAATCCAAACATGTGAAGAAAGAAAGAGAACTCAAAATGAAGCAGCTGTCAAATAAAAGAGATTATCTGGGGGAATCACTCTGATGAATAAAAATTGAACACCTCCCTTCTACCTTGCATTCTGCAACAACAATATTCTGGCCTGTGAGAGAGATCCCAGAAATTGTAATTTTCCAGGATGCCTGAGTTCTAATAAATGTTGCATGTCCTGAAATGCATTTTCCCAGAATCCCTTAGGACTTATTATGCTGCTGATTGACTTTCCTCTGAATTTCCCCCAAATCACTACCGACAGTTGAAACTGAACGGGACAGTTAAGAAATATACCACTCTTATTTTGGCTTTGAATGGAGGCAGTAAAACCCCAATGGCCTTATGATGATATCAAGACAATGGCAAAAATGAAATTATTGAATTGCACTCAGAGAAAGAAAGGAAAAAAAAACCTATTCCCTTATTCACATTTTTTCCCCTCAGGCATTTTCGAATTCAGATCCAGCTTTTAAAGATAATTTCAGTATCCTTTATCAAACAGCTAATTTTATTATTCTTGTGCTGATTGTTTTTATTTATTTATGTAGCAATTTCTATAGCTGCCTATCTCAATCAATGACCCTGGGCAGCTTACAATTGTAAAAAAAAAAAAATGAGCTGTCCTTGATGTACTCTGAGCGTGGTTGTTTTCTTTCAAATGTTTCATTATCTAGGCTAGGTAACATCATCAGTACTAGTAAGGAGTAAGGGGTTTGCTCACATGATATATTCTAGTGTCCTGTCCTGTCACTGTTGGTGGGGGTGGTCTTGTTGGTTCTTTGGTTGGGCTGTTTATTGTTGGTCAAATGTTAATTTTGGTGTTAATTCCTGCTTATCTGGGTGTTAATTGATGCAAGGTGTTCTGGTACTTTTGGCTTGTTGATTGTTTCTTTTGAATGGTATATAGATATTATTTATATCTATGTGCTTGTTGATGGCCAGTTTGTCAGAGTGCCAGGCTTCCAGGAATTCTCTAGCAATTTTGGATTTGGCTTGGTCTAGGATAGTTACAGTTTCCCATTTGAAACCACAGTTAAGATGTGATCATGGATGTGATCTGCTAATCTTCTGTCTGTGTAAAGGGTTTTGCAATCCTTACACTCTGTTGTATCCATGTGTTATGAAATTAAGGAGTTTTCAGCTAGATACAAAAGGCATCAAGCCCATTCTAGCCCATAGAATGAAGAGAAAAAAACACAATCATTTGTGGCTTATATTTTATGATGGTGGTCATTGGATTTTTTCTTAATAACTTCTATAGTTTATTTATATTTAAAATATAGTTAAATTTATTGAAATTGAAATTTTATTTAGTAGAGACCAGCATGTAGAGATCTCTCTGCATTGTGTTGTGATAATTTTATTCTTTTTCTTTTATGTTTTTCTGTACTGTTATCCACCCAGAATCACTAACTTAAGATGGGCAATCTCATAAACCAATAAATTTTTGAGTCCTTCCATATGCAATTTCCATATGCCACCTGAGAGATATTAAGCTAGATGGATTGCTAGAATAAATATTTTTCTGTAATATCTATTTCTTATCTGCATTTTGTTTTTCTTCATTAGCATATCCTTGTTGAACAACAGTTGTGATCCTAATTGTGTGATTATCTTTGAGGGTCCCCAACTCCACCTTCGGTCCATCCGGGAAATGCAATTGGGAGAAGAGGTAATTCATTTGTTCTTTCTTCCATCCCAGAAATTTGCAGATTGATTATCTTGATAGTATCTTGATGTTATTTCTGTTTCATAGCTTTCAGGAAGAACATAACAAAATAAATCTTTTCTTCAAATAGTATGGGTCTCCTCATCATTGCAGTGCTGCTCATAAATCACTAGCAGATTTGTTGATTTTTTTTCTCTCTTTGTTTCTCCTCTACACTTCATTTTGTTTGCATTTGACTACCTTTTCTGGACTGAAACAAAACCAAAGAAAAACTACATGTGGGTGCAATATAAGATGCAGTAAATAATTGCAGTTGTAAACGTTTGTCAGACTAAAGCCCTGCTGAATGTTTACAGTAGTAAACCTTTCCTGCAAGGAACCTATGAGGCAAAAGTTGTTTTCTTGTAAGTTTTATTTAAAAAGAACTACCCTTCTAAATGATTCGTGTTTTTGTCAGAGAATTCTTCACACAATTTTCTTTTCCTTTTTTTAAAAGATGGTCATGTCAAATAATCTGAATTAATATACAAAATAGAATATGGTGTCTGTGTGCATCTCTCCCTCTCCCTCCCCTTCCCCCTCCCCTCCCCTTCTCTCCCTCTCTCTGTTATCTGACAGCCTGTTTCTCATTAAGAGGCTCCTTGAATTTCAAATCTAATCCAAATTATACCAAAACAATTATACCATCTTAGTCCAGCAGCAGCATAAAAAAAATGTCTGCCTTTTTTACTATATTCCTCTCCAGTGTTAGCTTTGGCAAGGGGGAAAAGAGGCAAAGAATATAATGTAGGGATTGAAAACTGAAAAAACATTGGTTACTTGGGGATAGGATTAAATTTACAGGTAATTTTTGCTGATTTTATAGTTCTATAGTTCTGTTCACTTTAAAAAGCAGCTTATCGGAATCTCTTGATGTGCTGGATTACAGTTCTCGTAGCAGGTAGAGGAAGACTGGTATATCGGCATTTTTAGCTTATACTATTCATATATATAGCTAAAAATAATTAGATTATACTGTAAAGCTTGAGAATTTTAAAACTAACAGCATAGAATTAAAACCTATTAAATAAAGCTTGTCACATTTCATACCTTTAAATAAATAGTCCCAGAGCTGACAGCCTCATACAAGAAGTTCACTACCAAACCACTTATGATTAACCTTTTTCTAGCAAGAAAAGTACCATCATTAAAAAAAATCGTAAGACCTAAAGCAGACCCTGGGAGCCTTATATTTTATAAAATTGAATCATACTAGCACTGCAAATAAATTTTCAAATTCCTGGTCTTCTCAAGGAATGGACTTCACTAAAGAAATATTCATGAGGATGATAGCAGTTTCCTAAACTGTAAACATATAACTTCAATCAGAATTTACACCTGTAAACAAAGTGACCTCAGAAGCATTTGGTCTTCAGCATAATTAGAAAAGATTTTTTTCATAATATATTCAGTCCTCTGGCAAAAGTAATCTATTTTGCCACCAGCAACTAACTGAAGTAGAAAATGGTAAATATAAAGAGGATGCTTTAGAGAAAGGAACAGAGAAATAAATGGGTCTGATCATTTTACCTCAGTAATAGCTATGGCATGCCCAATATGTGGCCCCAGTAAATCACACTTCAAGAATTTTTGACAGTCTATTTTGACCTAGAGTATTATGATTGGTAGTCACAAATCACTGGTGCTAAATAAAGTTTCATCCAAACTTTGTAATTTAAACCTTCACCACACTGTTGTGAGATGAGCAGCCCTGTAAATCATTTAAACCAATAAATAGATCATTAAAGAAGTAGGACACATAAATGCTATGAGATATTATTAAAATAGAATCTCTGAGTTCATTTGAACATAAAACTAACCTATATTTTATCATGAAGTGAATAAGACTGGAGTTTGTGCACTGTATTCTCCTGTAGTATAATAACAACGGTGACTAAAAGCATTTTTACCCACCCATAGTTTAGTGTTGTGTCCAAATCTCAGGAAACTGTGTTTGTCATTTGGGAAAGATTGAGAATACATTCATTTTGCATTGGCACCTGCCAAATATATAGAATATTTGGAAGACAGACAGACAGACACTCTAAATTTTGCATTTTTCAGAATTCTGCAATGTTATTCACAACTAAATGTGCACAAACTTTTATTTGTTAACCTTTGTCACAGTTTGAGGTTAAACAGATGCACCAGAAGAGGAAAAGTGAAATAAGTTTATAAGGCTCAGAGTGCATTATCTACTATAACAATGGACCAAGTATAAAGTAAAGATGAGCATGGATTTTGCAATTCACTTTGTGCTTACAGCTCAACTTATGAGTTAGTTTAGTTTGACAGAAAGCAATGGACATAACTCTGTGTGGTTCTAATTAGACACTTGCCCTACTGAACAGGCTTGGTTTTTTTCTTTATGTTTGTTTGTTATCACAAATGTATGTTCCAGAAGTTGCCTTTCAATTTCTCAGTTGAAGTTCAGTAATTCTCCCTGACTCTAGTGTTCATTGGAAATTTGCTTCCATATATAATTATAAATTATGTCCATATAAGTTGTTTATAGTTTAAAATGATTACCTATTTTCTAATGTAATGTTAAAAAAATGTTCTGCTATCCCTCTTAGATGACAACCCAGTATTTTAACCTTTTTTTTTTGCTGTTCTTATGGCTGCATAAGTATTATAAGCATTCTTTGTCAAAATATGTCTTTCTGGTCTTTGTCACATGCAGCTCACCATCAGTTATACTGAAACTCTACTGCCTACTCCTGAACGTCAGCAGAATCTGAAGCGTCAATATTGTTTTGAATGTAGTTGCATCATGTGCTCCACACAAAGCAAGGTGAGTCAACTAAATTTGTCCTTAGACCAGGTAATATGCTCAATACTTGTGCTGAGAGTAGATATAGGTTGGATCAAACAATAAAAGGAACAAGATAATCAGAATTTTTAAAAGTGTGCTCTAGGAATTCTTTTATTTCATCACTTTTTCTTAGGTGTACTGGGATTTTATTATATTTTGGAACCAGAATTCTTTATTCCTATGCTTTCTTGCTTCTTATTCTTTCACGATGTAAGAGCAAACAGTTATATTTTTTTCTTAACCCAACATGCTTATTCATAAAATACAGAATACGGAAGCATTACTTAATCTATAAAGCATTTTTGTATTTGCTTGGATGTATATTCTTTCTCCTTCCAACAGCTATTTGTGCACTTTTTAAAATACTGTTTATGAACATTTCATTGTATGCTGTCTCATGAAGTCATTCTGAGAGGCTTTCATCATAGAATTGGCTTAAGTGAGTTACTTTGTATAATTTTATTCAAGAATGATTTGATTAATATTTTTGTTTTACGTCTGCATTTTGATCCCATTGTTGTTTGCATTTTTTCTATTGTCAGTTTTTGAAATTGTTAAATTTCTTGTCTATTTGATATCTTGAGACAGTTAATTTTGTGAAACAGCCACAGTTGATTAGGATAGTTTTGATGATGATGATGATGATGACATCAATACATTGAATCTTTCCTTTTCCTTGAAAAAGAGAAACAAAATCATGAGTCAAAAAAGTCTGTGTATATTTATAACTTTAAAACCTTGAATTATTTCTCAGTTGTTTGAAGATGTTTGTAGTTATACAATAATCCCATAGTCATATTAAATCAAAATGGAAAAAGTTAATATTTAAAAAGTATAGTGTACCGTAGTTTTATTGACATATGCAAATACAAGATGCATGAAGTATATTACCAGTGACTGTGTAATATTCACAGAGTACTGCATTTTCTCTGAAATTATTACTAGTTCTGCTCCATGAACAAATCTCCCACTTTTGACACATTAGTTTCTTGTTTGTATCTCCAAACAATAGTCTATCCTAGACAAAAGCAAGTGATTTTCAGAGTAAAAGATTATAGAAACTAATACTCAGTGATCTGAAAGACCAAGCCAAAAAATTCTGATGAGAATTTTACAAGATATGAAAATTCATAGTAGGCTTTACGCTGCCCAGCTTAATAAAGGAAGTTTTTGCTTCCAGCTCTTGAAAAATGTACAGTGTTATGGCATAGTCCTAACCCTACAAAGACTTTGTTTATGGCATCCTCAAACTTTTATCTCATAGCCTTCAATTTCACATGTCTTTTTGTGTTAAGAAAATTACAAAGAAAAGGAAATTCCTATTGTATTGTCCATAACATTTCTTGGCCCAGATTCTTCTCTGCCTTCTCTGAAAGTTGTGATTCTAACAAGGCTTTATGGACTTTCTTCATCTCTTGCTCTTCTTCAGATGAGGAGCTGCCAAGAATATCTTATGCATTTTTTAAGTATTCTTTAATTACTACCATGGATGCTTCTAGGCAAATATACCTGACTCTCACCAGTCCAAGAGCCATGTGCACCTATTATGTTTTTCCTTCCTTAATAGAAATTCTGGTTAAAAAAAATATGTCAAAGAAAATGGAGGGAGGCTAGATGTAGAAGTTACTGTCTGAATTCCCATAATTGTTGGATCCATCTTGGAGGGAAGCACTGCAAATTGGGCCTAATATGGAACAAAGACTATTCTGAGAGATGATGCAAATGGACTGTAGACTTGCCCAGGGTTAAGGGCTAATTTGGAAGAAAATTTTAACACTGTTAGTGATTGTGTTTTTGAATGTTAGGGATCGTTATTTTTTAATCTCCACTTGATCAGATAAAGAAAGTTGAAAAGCCTTTCCCTGAAGTTACTCACATTACATTTATTAACCCAAGGTACATTTTCATTTAATGAAAAGTAAACAGTCTTCTAATTTATCTTCCAGACTCACTTCTCCATGTGTATCTTCTCTTTCTACAAAGGAAAATTAAACTTACCTAGAGATAAACTATCTTGAATCTAGTACACTACAAAATGTTTTCCAAACTTTAGTAATACTTTAGTAATACACTTTACCAATTATTAAGGGGCATAGGTTCAGTACCATTATTGTTCAGAATTTAGACACGTTTAACCTCAACTAATATCTACTTTTGTTTAGTAGTTACAGATTCCCTTTATTCAGCTGCCTGACAGTATTTCTGTAATGTCCATTACGAGTCAACTTGCGATACATATATACATAAATACACACGTACCCATCATGCTATTTCATTTTAGAGTAAGCAACATTAAACAAAGGTCAGAGAAAGAATAAAAAGTTGCAAACAAAAGAAATTAAAGGGAGGAGAAAAGGAAATGCCATTCATAAATACCTCATTATTTTTGCAATCCTTCCTTTCATTTGTCCATATACTATTTCATGCAGTTCCTTTTGTTTAAAATTCTCTCTTTTGGGGAATATCATTAACTCAGTCTAACATACCTTTCTTAGATTTTCCTTCATTTCTACTTACTCATTTTTTTTCTGTCATTTTTATTTTGAGATTTAATCCTTTTTCTCTCTGTGATAAAATCAGTTCTGTGCATTTTTCTATTGGTCATTCACTTTAATCATCCATTTATTCTTGTCTTATGTCAATAGTCTTGTAATGTTGAATAATTTGCTAATCATAGACTTTTCCTTTGGATTATATTTATTCAGAATATTTTACTTTTTCCTCCAAAACCAATCCCTGGTTCTTTCATTGACATTAATCATTGGAATATAGCATGCAATATCATCATCTTATGGAGTCCTTTTTTCATATGCACCAAGAACAGAACGCAATACCTGGGAAGATCCTGGAAAAGATAATCAATGAATCAACGAACACCTAGAGGCAAACAAAGTCATTACTAAAAGCCAACATGGGTTTGTCAAAAATAGATCATGCCAGACAAATCTTATTGCATTCTTTGACCAAGTGATAAAATTAGTGGATCAGAAGAATGCTGTGGACATAATTTACTTGGACTTCAGTAAGGCATTTGATAAAGTAGATCACAACCTGCTACTTGACAAGATAGAAAAATGTGAGGTAGACAGCATCACCATCAGATGGATTCGTAGCTGGCTGACCGGCCGTACTCAGCGTGTGGTCCTCAATGGAACAGCATCTACATGGAGGAAAGTGTGTAGTGGGGTGCCTCAGGGCTCTGTTCTGGGCCCAGGGCTCTTCAACATCTTCATCAACAATTTGGACGAGGGAATAGATGGGGAACTCATCAAATTTGCGGATGATACCAAGCTGGCAGGAACAGCCAACACTCCAGAAGATAGGCTTAAGATACAGAAGGATCTGGGCAGACCTGAACACATGGCACTATCTAACAAAATGAAATTCAGTGGTGTAAAAAGCAAGGTTCTACATTTAGGCAAGAAAAACCAAATGTACAGGTATAGTATAGGAGGTACTTTGCTCAGTAGTAGTAATTGTGAGAGGGACCTCGGAGTCCTAGTGGACAATCACCTAAATATGAGCCAGCAGTGTGCTGCAGCTGCCCAAAAGGCCAACACAGTGCTAGGCTACATTAACAGAGGGATAGAATCAAGATCACGTGAAATGTTAATACCACTTTACAATGCCTTGGGAAGGCCACACTTGGAATACTGCATCCAGTTTTGGTTACCACGATGTAAAAGAATGTTGAGACTCTAGAAAGAGTACAGAGAAGAGCAACAAAGACGATTAGGGGACTGGAGGCTAAAGCATATAAGGAACGGCTGCTGGAATTGGGTATGTCTAGTTTAATGAAGAGAAGGACGAGGGGGGACATGATAGCAGTGTTCCAATATCTCAGGGGCTGCCACAAAGAAGACAGAGTCAAGCTATTTTCCAAGGCGCCTGAAGGCAGGACAAGAAGCAACGGGTGGAAACTAATCAAGGAGAGAAGCAACCTAGAACTAAGGAGAAACTTCCTGACAGTTAGAACAATTAACCAGTGGAACAACCTGCCTCCAGAAGCGGTGAATGCTCCAACATTGGAAGTTTTTAAGAAGAGACTGGACAGCCATTTGTCCGAGATGGTATATGGTTTCCTGCCTGAGCAGGGAGTTGGGCTAGATGACATCCAAGGTCCCCTCCGACATTATTATTATTATTAATAATAATAATATAGGAGTTCAGCCTTTCTGAACATGGAAGGTAGTCCAGACAAGAGGCACAAACCAAAAGTACTAATACTATCTTTATTGTAACAAGACCATGCGAGTCTGAAAGACTACTCCCTTCTCTTACTTTTATCTTCCCCAAAATTAGGGGATTGTCTCTTCTGAGATGCATCCCATACCCCTTTTTCTTCTGCGGACTGAAATACCTTTTGCATGACGGCTGTCTAGGCTGTGGCTCTTCCTCCTATGTCCCAAGGTCACAGCCAATTGCATGATACCATACCAATTCATACTTTCAACTATTAGCTCTTTCATATCTAAGCTTTCTGGAATCAGAGTTTTTAGGCACTATAAAGATATCATAAATAAATAAGCCTATACCTTCACTTCCCTGTATTATTCAACTCCATTGAATGAATCAGATTGTTTTCATTCAGATTTACTATATCCTTCCCCTTTATTTCAGTTCTGCAAGTCCAAAAACAATTTTTTCTTTATTTCATTCATTAATTCAGCTTACATGCAAATCACAGTTTTCCATACACTCTGATCATCATCAAATGAATATTGACCCACTATATATTATGTCTTTGATCAACTGAGTTTTCATATGAGATAAGGGAAGTCACCAGTCTTAGTTATTTCCATGCTGTAATATTAGCAGTATTTTGTAAAATATTTTGGTTAATATGCCAAAAGTTCAACCAAAGCCCAATTTTATCTTAAATATAGTTTTACTATTCTACACTTTCTAAGATTTCTAATCTCCTGACTACCCACATACCACCAACTAGAATATAAATGCAATGTATTGTATACTCAGGA